CAATATCTGTATCGGTCAATATCGGTATCGGTCAATATCGGTATCGGTCAATATCTGTATCGGTCAATATCGGTATCGGTCAATATCGGTATCGGACGTTTCTCAAAAGTTGTGATATCGGTATCGTATCGGAAGTGAAAAAGTGGTATCGGGACATCCTTAGTGTTTTTCACCAGTAGAAACAGACGGTTGTTGATCACGTGACTCCTGTGATGTGAAAAAAGTGTTTCCATTGTAGTTTTGTGAAAAACACCAATTCAGATACGACTGAAAAACCACCTCAWCCTAGAGCAAAAACATTTTGTCGAAAAACGTAATTTTTTTCCGAAATTGACGTGTTTCCATTGAGCAAATTTATTTTTGAAATTCTATTTTGCATATTTTCATGGTGAATGGAAACACAGCTACTGATACTGAGTGAACCTTGAAGTCCTCTGTAGACCACAGTCCATCTGTCCAGCAGCTGAAGCTTGGACCAAACCGGGTCAGGAATCAACAGAACAAAGGTCCAACAGCAGCGAGGCTGAAAACTAAAAGAGTCAATGATCCAGTCAAACACTGGTGGTGTGTTCAGGTGTGTGTAGACCAGTCTGGTTTTTATCCACAGTCTGGACTGAAAACATGACAGAGACGAGGCAGGACTACTTCAGTTCACTGTGACAATAAATGATTGTAAACATTGTTTAATTATGAGATACACTTTGTGTTTACACTGCTTTTATACTTTGGATTATTTTAAACCATGTCCTGTCCAGCAGTGTGTCCTAATGAAGCCCAACAGTTTTACTTTCACAAGCTTAATGACATTTCACCATCATGCTCCACTTCATATATGCTGAAACTTTTATTATAAATTCTGTTGGGATTCATTGTAACGAACACTGAGATGGAAAATGTAAATAAAGAAGAGAAAAAGGAGAAAAGTGAAAAAAGAGACAGAAAGGGAAACCAGAAGATATGAGAGATGCATTAAGAAAGCAAGACAACACATTTATAGTCTGTCTCCACACCTGCAACAATAATAATAATAATAATAATTATAGCCTCTTTAATGTTGATTGAACGTTGGTTGATCCTACCCTCATGGTATTGTTTCTTTAAAGTTCTACCAACAGTTTTAGGAGTTTTTGTTTCAGTTAAATCAGATCTGAAGGTAAATGTATGTTGTGTTTATATTCTGTAAGACTCTACTATAGAGGTGTAAGAAAATATCGATACACTGAAATATCGCGATATTTCATTTCCCGATACTGTATCGATATTCTAAAGCCCTGTATCGATTTTTTTATTAAGGTTTAAAATGTCAACTTAACAAAAGTGTAAAAATAAAAAAGAACTGTTGTAAAGCCCTGGGTGTGACCGTCTGTAAGGCATCAGAGAACTGACCTGTCCACAGGCTGTCATGATGTTAAACACCAGAGTTCACTGCTCTCCATGCTAACAAGTAAAAACAGGAGACATGAAGAAAACAAACAAACAAACATTGTCTTCATTTTACTTTATCTTCCTCAGTTTAATTTATCATGTGATATATTGATGTCTTGTTTGTTGTGTCATTGTGTTTACAACCACACTTCTCTGTTTTCTCTCCTCAGCTCTGTTCTACCAAAGGTCCCTGCTGGTCAGACCAGTTGTTGTTCAACACAAAGAGCATGAGCAGCGCCCCCTGCTGACAGCAAGGATTCATTCATCACAAGCTCTGCACGGTCAGTGTTCAAAAAGACAACATTCAGTTGTGTTGTCAGAGCTGGATGTGTCTGCTGCACACACAACAGCTTTCACACTCCTCTTTAAACACAACACTGCATACAAATGTCAGGGATTAAAGCTGCTTTTAAACACAATCCCTTCAGTTCAGGGCCTCAGTAAGTGTGCAAATTAAATAACTGTAAATACACTGTTTATTTCTAATACTTGGTTCGTTGTAAAGCAAAGTGGGCACAAGCTGAAACTCCTAACCCCTTCATCTCATTTTAATGTGGAGACCCTGCAATGAAAGCTGAAAGTCTGGACTTTATGTCTGTTTGAATCACTATAACTATAACTAACTATAACTAAATATAACTAACTATAACTATAACTAACTATAACTATAACTAACTATAACTATAACTAACTATAACTGTAACTATAACTTAACTATAACTACAACTATAATGTAAGGGTGAGTTACTTATGCAAATAAGTTCCCTACATCTTCTCATAACTAAGTTATGAGAGTAAATTTTACCAAGGTTTTCCTCATTACTCTAATATTTGTCTGTGCAAAGTGAAGTGACACAATGAGGGAACGTCAGACGAGTTCAAGTTGATTCATAAAAGATTATGCAATCATTTATTTACACACATTGAACAAATCATAAATTACACCTGATTGTGGACTTCCTATACTAAGAGTCTAAGTAAATGAGATAAAACCCGTGTCCGAATTTCTTTCACATTAACTCAGATTACTTATATAGACAGTAAACATCAGTTCTGATGTTAAAACTAAACAATTTACTGGCACTTTAACTTAGGGTTGGCAAAGGAGAGGGTAAGAAAAGGTAAGAAAATTAGGGATTAGTGTTTCTGCTTTTATTCTGGTAAGGTTTACAACCGGTTCAGCACGTCCCCTCTGCTCTCAGGCTTTAACTTGACACGTCACCCACGAACACGTCAGCATTACCTGGTGATGTCTGCTCAAAACACCCCGGGTGTGACTGTCTCACCACGACCCTCTAGGAAGCTTGTCCTCGCTGGTCCTTGGCGAAAATGTGTCTTTCAGGTGACTTTTCCGTCTGTTTCAGCCCAGGCTAGAAAGATTCCAGCTGAAAGTTCCGGTCGTCTTTCAAAATAAAAGTCTCCCCTCAGGAGTTGAAAACACTTAAAGAGACCTGGG